TGTTGGCCTTGGAGTTGACAGTGATGGCGGTGTCGGAGTTGGCATTGGTGTTAGCCTTGGTTTTGGTCTTGGAGTTGATGTTGGCCCTGCTGGTGGCCTTGGAGTTGGCATTGGTGGTGGCCTTGGAGTTGGTGTTGGCCTTGGAGTTGACAGTGATGGCCTTGGAGTTGATGTTGGCCTTGGAGTTGGCATTGGTGTTGGCCTTGGACTTGACAGTGATGGTGGCATTGGAGTCGATGTTGAATTTGATGTTAATGTTAGAGTTGACATTGGCATTGGAGTTGACATTGATGTTGGCATTGGACTTGGCCTTGGAGTTGACGTTGGCATTGGTGTTGGCCTTGGAGTGGATGTTGGTGTTGGAGTTGGTATTGGAATTGATGTTGGAGTTGGCATTGGAGTTGATGTTGGCATTGGAATTGATGTTGGAGATGGTATTGGAGTTGATGTTGGTATTGGGGTTGATGTTGGAGTTGGCAGTGGAGTTGATGTTGGCATTGGGGTTGATGATGGAGATGGTATTGGAATTGATGTTGGAGATGGTATTGAAATTGATGTTGGCATTGGGGTTGACTTTGGTGATGGTATTGGAGTTGATGTTGGGAGTGGATGTTGGTGTTGGAGTTGGTATTGGAATTGATGTTGGAGTTGGCATTGGAGTTGATGTTGGCATTGGAATTGATGATGGAGATGGTATTGGAATTGATGTTGGAGATGGTATTGGAATTGATGTTGGAGTTGGCATTGGAGTTGATGTTGGCATTGGAATTGATGATGGAGATGGTATTGGAATTGATGTTGGAGATGGTATTGGAATTGATGTTGGAGTTGGCATTGGAGTTGATGTTGGCATTGGAATTGATGATGGAGATGGTATTGGAATTGATGTTGGAGTAGACATTGGAATTGATGTTGGAGTTGGCATTGGAGTTGATGTTGGCATTGGGGTTGACTTTGGTGTAGACATTGGAATTGATGTTGGAGTTGGCATTGGAGTTGATGTTGGCATTGGGGTTGACTTTGGTGTAGACATTGGAATTGATGTTGGAGTTGGCATTGGAGTTGATGTTGGCATTGGGGTTGACTTTGGTGTAGACATTGGAATTGATGTTGGAGTTGGCATTGGAGTTGATGTTGGCATTGGGGTTGACTTTGGTGTAGACATTGGAATTGATGTTGGAGTTGGCATTGGAGTTGATGTTGGCATTGGGGTTGACTTTGGTGTAGACATTGGAATTGATGTTGGAGTTGGCATTGGAGTTGATGTTGGCATTGGGGTTGACTTTGGTGTAGACATTGGAATTGATGTTGGAGTTGGCATTGGAGTTGATGTTGGCATTGGGGTTGACTTTGGTGTAGACATTGGAATTGATGTTGGAGTTGGCATTGGAGTTGATGTTGGCATTGGGGTTGACTTTGGTGTAGACATTGGAATTGATGTTGGAGTTGGCATTGGAGTTGATGTTGGCATTGGGGTTGACTTTGGTGATGGTATTGGAGTCGAAGTTGCCATTGGAGTTGATGTTGAGATTGGCATTGGGGTTGGCATTGGAGTTGCTCTTGGTGTAGGAGTCGATGTTGGCATTGGAGTTGATGTTGACATTGGCATTGGCATTGGAGTTGGTCTTGGTGTAGGGAGTTGATCTTGGTGTAGGAGTTGCTCTTGGCGTAGGAGTCGACGTTGGCATTGGAGTTGATCTTGGTGTAGGAGTTGCTCTTGGCGTAGGAGTCGACGTTGGCATTGGAGTTGATCTTGGTGTAGGAGTTGCTCTTGGCGTAGGAGTCGACGTTGGCATTGGAGTTGATCTTGGTGTAGGAGTTGCTCTTGGCGTAGGAGTCGACGTTGGCATTGGAGTTGATCTTGGTGTAGGAGTTGCTCTTGGCGTAGGAGTCGACGTTGGCATTGGAGTTGATCTTGGTGTAGGAGTTGCTCTTGGCGTAGGAGTCGACGTTGGCATTGGAGTTGATGTTGACATTGGCATTGGGGTTGGCATTGGAGTTGCTCTTGGCATAGGAGTCGACGTTGGCATTGGTGTTGATGTTGAGATTGGCATTGGAGTTGCTCTTGGCATAGGAGTCGACGTTGGCATTGGTGTTGATGTTGAGATTGGCATTGGAGTTGCTCTTGGCATAGGAGTCGACGTTGGCATTGGTGTTGATGTTGAGATTGGCATTGGAGTTGCTCTTGGCATAGGAGTCGACGTTGGCATTGGTGTTGATGTTGAGATTGGCATTGGAGTTGCTCTTGGCATAGGAGTCAACGTTGGCATTGGTGTTGATGTTGAGATTGGCATTGGGGTTGGCATTGGAGCTGATCTTGGAGTAGGAGTCAATATTGCCATTGGAGTTGATGTTGACATTGGTGTTGGGGTTGGCATTGGAGTTGATCTTGGTGTAGGAGTCGACGTTGGCATTGGAGTTGACATTGACATTGGTATTGACATTGGCATTGGAGTTGATCTTGGTGTAGGAGTTGCTCTTGGCATAGGCGTCAACATTGGCATTGACGTTGACGTTGGCACCGACATTCCCCACTCCACCCTCCCCTTGCCCTCTCCTCGCCGAGGCCCTGGCACGGGTCAGGCAGGACAACGTCCTCTCCTCCGTACGCCTTCTCCGACGATCCTCCGGCGCCGCCCGCGACGCCGACGTCTTCCCGCTCCGGCCTCGCTCCGCCCTCTCG